AATCGAGAGACAACAATGATAACTAGAACAACAAAACGAATTCTGTCTTATGTTGCAACGTCTTGTTGGTAAAAAGTAGACAATAAGATATCGCTCCCGTTGCCTGTTAATATCAGAACGAAGTTCTGCTAAAAATGATTCTGATAACGCAGGCTCAAAACCACAACCTATTTTAGCCTTTTCAAACAGTACCTACCTCTTCCAAATATTATGACTTGCACAACCTCGCGATAGCCCGTGTAGAATGACGGGTAATTTGCATAGGTGAAGAAGTATCCTGACTGAGATGAGACATCTTGTAGCTGTGGTTTGGCGACTGAAGTTCCGACGCCGATGACGTAAATATCGAAGTTCTGACGTTTTAGGTTTGCAGCGATGTTTCTCCACGTCCCGGCAAAGCGATTTGGCCATAAACCAGAAGTGATGACGATGATAACCTGAGGTTTACGAGAAAGTGAGTGAATGAGTGAGTGAGTGAGTGACCCCCTGACACATAAGCAAAACTGAATATATATGGGAATACAACTGACTACCAACCTTTCTTGCCTCAGACCGCGCCCCATTTTGTGATGTGTATAACTGATTCTGAGCAACCTGCAATGCATTGTGGACATTCCTTCCTCTCCCCCTCATATATCTCACACCATCAATGAGTGTGTTAACCCCCTTGGCTGTGTATCCAGCTCCTTGAAGAGCGTTAAATTTAAACGCCATCAGTGCTCTATCGCTGTATGTAATGTAACCAATATGTGTACCAATAGATGAGACATCAAACGAGTTAACAATAGCTTTCGAGTAGCGTTGCATCTGTGCCCAGTTGGCGCCTGCTGATGAATCAACGATAAATCCAAGATCCAGAGGGTAGCCACGCCCTTTAAGAGAAGGAACATTTTATAGTGAGAAACAATAGGCCGTTTGCATTATGACGTAACTTTACTACAACTACCAGAGAGCCTTGCGCATTTTCATTGCTATTCAGAATTTTAATCCCCTTGGAGGTTAAGAAAACAAATGACACTAATTGCATTACAAAAGAAAGTTGGCAAAGCATTCTGGTAGTTGTAGTAAATGACGCCATAATGCATATCGCCTATTCCTACTCACTTGGAGTGAACCTTAAAGAGGTAAGAGAGATGTAAAAAGATTTTTTTTTTACTTTATAAGATTGCTAGCAACGAACCGAACTACCAAAGCAACTCTGGGCTACTATCTACATAGTCCTTGCAGCTGTAGTAATAAATAGCAAATGTGGCAAGATACTGCTGTTCGATTGCTATATTATTTCTCTCCTACTAACAATTTGCTGAAGGATAACTTCTCAYGATTAGCTGTTAGTAGTGTTATCCCAGTCCCTTCCCAATAACGATAATGAGTAGGAACTGGTAAAGGGAGTTGTTTCATACCTTTACTGACAGMAATAGCCGATTTTTCAGCAGTATTTGGTATATCTCGATAGTTGTATTTGTAAGAAACGTAATCAGCATGAGAKGCTGTCCAAAGCACTTGAGGTTGAAYRAACGATCGACCAACACCGACAGTATACACCYGGACACCACTATTCTGTAATTGAGTCGATACTGCACTTGGTTTAGGATACTGTCCTGTAGCTTGTGGTGCCGCAAATAACACGATTAAAACCTAAAAGAAAWWGTGTATTTATCATATGATTATCTATAAAATACCTATATTTCTCGGCATGTCGTAAAGTTGCTATTTTCACTAGTGAAAATAACACATTCCAGGTTTCTCYATAWAGTGGAAGTAAGAAAAAATGTATTTTACGACATAATTTGCTTTCATATGTAGGTATATGATAAACAGAACATTACATAGTCGCTTGGAGATACGAATTTTATCTTCTCATGTTGTCAACACAACTTAATTCAACTATTTTCTATCTATTTTAGTTTGAAAGAATAGTAATTGAATAATACAGAATCACTGAGAAAATSGCGCAAGACCAAGACATTCTGCGCCGCCAGAGCTGAGCTTTCTACTCACCCTTCGTGAATTGGGTCTAACTCCACCTGCCGCTGTAAACATATCAGTCGTTGCCAGCTTTATAGCACTGTCAATACGCCTGGCGGAACCAGTCTGTCTTGGAGCTCGGCTCACAAGGCCATTATATCCAGCTGCACTTATCTGATTATCAGGGACACTTTTGAATGAGAAATAGACCTTGGGTTGAGCTGCATAGCTGATAAAACCAAAACGAGTGCCATCGAAGTCAGTTGATATTTTAACAGGGAATTTGGATATGAAAGCTTGGATGTATCTTACGATGAAGCCCCATTGCTCATTGGTGAGTTGACGAGAGGAGTCAATAGCGAATGCTATGTCAAATGGTCTAGCAGGCGCTGTGGAACAGATATAGTGGAATTTAGGTCATTTTGAAGCAGTTTTGAACGTCAAAGACACAAAATGTCGTCAAAGTAACTAAATGACACTGAAAAGCAGGGATGCKYATCTCCAATGATTTTGTAATATTTAGTTAGCGAAAATTTAGGGGAACTTTTTAGGTAAATTTGATTAGAATTTGTGACAGACTCAAAAAAATTCTCTTAGGAGTTGGATACGACGACAATCAACTTGTTTTCCATGTTTGAATCTGTGACCATTAATCAAACACAACTCAATCAAASYAAATTTAATCATTCAAATTGGTACTAACCTCCAAAGACGATCACCTGGACGAGCTGTTGATATTGTTTATYCAAKGCRTCGTACGAGGCCGGTCGGAATACATAGCCAGATTTTGTGGCAACGCCTTCCAACTGACYTKCATCAGTATTTCCACCAACACCCARMGCATACARGTCAAACTTATTATTACGTAATTGTGCAACGGTCTGTTTCCATGCTCCCGCGAATTGAGCTTGCCATTGACCAGCGGTGATTATGATCAAGATCTAAATAAGAAGCATGTATCAATCAAATCGTTTGCTAGAGTAACGAGAGGTAATTTTGCTCACTACCATTACTTTTGCCATTAGCAGTATATCACTGTTTGATATATTCTACAATCGTATGCAAAATAAACAGAACACTCGCCCCCTTCCCCCACTGCAAGGTTGTTCACATGTTCCTTTCGCCTCCTTGTCGATTTTGTAGCATTTCATTGTCGAACAACATTGTAAAAGGGGAGGGAGATGCAAAATTTAGTGTTTTTGAAGTGCCGTATCTCTTTGAATTTAAATCAGATTATTTTCAAACTTGGCAAATTTGCTGATTTTATGACGWTCTTTCCAGTGATGTCAATGATTTACCATAACGACGTAATGTAAAATTTCGAATTATCCGCGAAATGGACTATTTGTCTACTGACATATTGATTTGCGCTGGATGGCAAAAGTGCGTGCTCTGGGTACGAGATTGGGATGTGAATATCTTTAATAAATTTAGACGAAATTAGKCATATATATGTCACGCACATGTCTTGAATTCAATGTACATCAGGTGGCTATATTTGAGAACGGGTACACTATTTTACAGCGCAATCAGTTAACAATGTAAACAAGTGTTTTCCCACCTTTCTGGCATAACTTCTTGCACCGTTCTTTTCTACAAATAATGTCTGTAAAGCGAGTTTCAAAGCTAGATCAATTCGTCTATTTCGTCCTCCTCGTCTAGCAAGCGCATCCACAAGTCTATTGAAGGATTGTTTGGTGTAACCAGCGCCGCTTAGAGCGTTGAATGCCACATCAAGGTTAGCTGCATCACTGTAGGTTATTACTCCCACACGTGTGGCATCGTTAGAGATGTCAAATGARCCAGCAACTGATTTGATRAACGATTTCATTTGGTTCCATTGGACCGTGCTTGATGCATCGACGAGGAAGCCAATGTCGTAATTAATGCCAATTCCTGTATATAATACGTATTGTGTCAGTATGATAACAATAGTTGATGTGACGGTTTTGACCGCCATTTTGTTTGAGTAGGCAAAATCTCGCAAAATAACAAGGATGCAGTATGAAATCGATGTCAAATAAGGACTTAGTTGATCTAGGGAGCGAGTTAACTCATTTTTTGTTCTCCATACATTTCTTTGTAATTTCCGGGATCATCGGCGAATAGCGCGCGTGAAAAACACAAGGAAATGTATGGAGAAAAATGAATTTATTCGCTCCCTAGATCAAGTAAGTCCTAAAAAACTGGTCAGTTAACTCCTTTTCAAAGCATCTAACGTTTTCAATTCAYGATTCTTTWARAATTGGCTGCCATTYATAATTACTAAAGTGAAAAACTATACCTGAATTGATATCCTTAGGCATAAGTTCTGTTAGTTCATCGATGCTATCGTATTTGTACTTATGATAGACATAGTCRGCGTGAGAAGCRGTCCATAGAACCTCAGGYTTSACGAATTTCTTYCCTGCGCCCAAGGTGTATATTGCAACTCCAGATTTACGTAACRACGCTGCGTTATTACGTAACGCTGCACCTWGTCCTTGCGCTTGTGGACCGGCAAAGAATACAATTAGGACCTATAGATTACGAAAAAACGACCAGATACATTTTTCAACAAGCAAATAATAGTAAAAACAAAGAAAACAAGCAATTATCATACAATTACACTTCAAATACTTAAAGCGTGAAAAAAAAAACAAAAAAAAAAAAACAACAAAACAACACTAAAAGCGTGAAAAAGTACCAAGTAGTGATAAAAATCGCAATTTATAATTCAAATACAATTTTTCCTCCGCTCTCATTGTTGGCGTAAAGCATCACGAACAACGGACATTTACATGTGAAACTTGCACAGAAACACCACAGTTACCTTCCTAGAGTCAGGTCTTGATCCGCCACGTGCGCTGAATACATCTCTCTGCACAGTCTGCAAAGCAAGATCGATTCTCCTYGGCTGACCCGACTGCCGTGCAGTTTTATCTACCAACCCTTCCGTTYCCTTTTTATTCATTAGGTGAACTTTTGAAGTGAATGTAAATATGACTTTTGGAGATGCTGCATAGCTTACGAGGGCGAAACGGAAAGCGCCGAGACTGTCTTTAAGAGCCCGTGCACTTTGTATGAACGAGCTTACGTATTTCAATGTTGCGCGCCAGTCTTGAGCGGAGATTGTCTGAGAGGAATCCACTGCTATTGCGACTTCAATAGGAGTAATTATAGCTGGAAAATAAGATAGGGACATTGTTAATATGATACATAAAAATCGAAAGAATAAGTAATGATATCAAATTATTAGTATTGTATTAGTGTCTTATGCAAAAAAGTATATATTTATTTAATCAAACCGTACATATTTGAATTCTTTTTTACAAATAAACATTTATATCTTTTTTCATAAATTTTTTTAACTGTTTTTCTTCCTATATTCAATTTTGTAAAGCGCATCATAACCTGATGGATATTTTGCGTTATAAAAATACTATTTATTATTATTATTATATTATTAGATGAAGATAAATACATAATGGCCGCGGGGCTCTATTCTCTGATAAAATAAAGTCGAAGAAGAGGACAAAAGAAGAAAGCCTAGGAACAACAGACTCACAAGCCGCGGCGAACAATTCTCTCTGGACTCTCATAATATAAGCATTGGTTATTAGCCAATCAGCGCGCGCTTTTAATGAGAAACATTTATATTTACTATATAATAAAATTAAGGATATAAATTATTTACAATAAAAAAGAAAAAAATATTGAACGTTTTCGACTATGACGTCATCAGAATGTCATCATAGTCGAAAACGTTTTTCTTTTTTATTGTAAATAATTTATATCCTTAATTTTATTGTATATACTATGTACAGCATACTATGTCACATTTATATTTACCTCCATATACTATAGTTCTGATAAGTTTAGGTTCCATTTTATTCAAAGCGTTGTAATTATTGACGGTGAACGCGTATCCTGGTTCTCCAGCAGCAGCCTTAAGCTGAGGAAGCTGGACGGCCTTGCCAATACCAACGGCGAACACATCGATCTTCTTCTCGCGAAGTGCTGCAGATGCGGTCTTCCAAAGAGGACGGTCAGTAGGCCATGCACCAGTTGTAATGATGATGATTATCTGCAAATATGAAGTTACAGTGTAAATACAATTGCACACATCGTTCCAATTATTTGACCAGTCAAAGACACAACAGTTGTGAAATTACGACAGGTCATTCTCATTCAAAACACTCAAATATTGTTGTACCACCGAAAATTGTTGGATGATAAACGTCTTCAAACTCTAACCAAAATTTTTGATGCACCATTCCACAATATCATAAAATACAATACAATATAGCGCAATGCAATATGATTTACAGGCAGCCCAACAATGAAATATCCTAATTAAAAAAATAAAATAAAATAAAAATAAAATCCTCTACTAAGCTTTTACTTTGAATTTACTTGATTATATTACATACCTTTCTGCTATCGTCACGCGCTCCATTTCCCTTTGTGAACAGTTGACCAGAAGCAACGTTGAATGCCTGTCCTGCCCTTCGTACAGTTCCTCTTCTATGCTTAACATTATCAATGAGTTTAGCGATWCCTTCATAGGTATACTTTACTCCTTTAAGCGCGTTAAGGCGGAAGGCTATCCCAGCATCGTTGCTGTATGTGATGTAGCCAATGTGTGAGCCAGAGTCAGAGATATGGAATCGCTTAGCGAGTTGTTTAGTGAAGGTCTGCATTGCAGCCCAGTTTACGTTGTTTGATCCATCAACGAGGAAAGCGATGTCAAGGTGATTCCCTCGTTCTGTTTGTATAAAATAAGATAGCGATTAATAAATCATTATTAATGAACTAAGTGTAGTGTAACAGCRCTGAGCAGTTATGCTAAAAATAGATATGCATAAATTAACCCCGAGCAGCGATTCGGACAAACAAACCCAACTTTCACAGTCAAGAATTACAGCTGAGTAAGGTTTGGTATAAAAAAAAMCCCGCTATTTTCGCCTTGAAATGGGATGGAAACAAAATGAAGCTATTTAACAAATAGATCTCATTTTTCCGTGCGTGTGTACTCTAATAGATACACAGATGACGTCAAAATGTGGTGAGAACAAAAAAGTACGCACGAGACGCAGTCGAGTGCGTGACTGTTGTTCTCACTACATTTTGACGTCATCTGTGTATCTATTAGAGTACACACGCACGGAAAAATGAGATCTATCTGTTTTATACAACAAACAATTAGTTTTGACGTAATCCGTGTATCTATACTTTGATAACACACGAAAGCCAACCAATCAAAACGTCTGATTTTACTGAAAAGTTGGCGCAATGCATCAAGGTATTAATGAAAGAAACATGGCGGTTGTATTTCTTTAAGCAATAAACAACACATTTTCGTGCGTTCCTGGTGAAATAAACCACGCGTGATGTTGGTAGGACTCGAAAAAAGCGTAAAAGATCTCGAGCCGCAGGCGAGAGATTTTCAGCCTTTTGAGTGTTTTCCCAATATCCCAAGTGGTTTATTTCACCAGGAACGCACGAAAATATATGTTGTTTATTGCTTTTATATTATAGCATTTTCGCATCCGTGGGTTTACCGGTGAAATAAACAATAACATTTGACCAGTCAGAGAGCGCGTACTATGATAGCTATAATATAAAGCCTAATAAAACCTTTTAGCGATCTCTTTTACACTGTGTTAGCCTGTAACCATGTAGTATATTCTTCTATTTACTAACAGCTCGTGCAAAAGCAAAGGATTCCTGAGTATAGAAGACAATGGAACTAGATTGAAATCTAAATTTCTGAATATTTTAAACACAATTAAGGGTAACACGGCGTAAAAGAGATCGCGAAACACAGCTATTGTTCATCAAGAATGGAAGAGCATTAAATGAGGTGCCTATACACTCATGTGTATGTTAAAATATTTGTCTGTCAAGTTATGCCTGATGTCTGAAGAACGGTCAGCAGGACAATGTAGTGGACATTTGTACCTTGGTTTACGCCCTTGCTCATTTTCTGCACATGTTGCTCTAACTTCGGATGGTCGTTGTAAAAGATATAATCAGCATACGAAGCAGTATCGATCGTCTCTTGCTGGTCGAAATTGGGACCGGCTCCAACTACATAGGTGGAGTAAGCTCGTTTGGATTTCAGTACGTTGGCCAAAGCTTGTTTGTGAGATTGAGCTTGTGAACCAGACATCAGTAATACCAGTACCTAAGAATACATCAGATTGACTCCTTACTACAAATAGAGCGAACGCAACAACAACAACAACAACAACAACAACAACAACAACAACAGCAACAATGACAATAACGACAACAGCGACAACAACAACGGCAAGAACAACGACGACGACAACAGCAACAACAACGACAACTACAACAATAACAACGACGACAACAACAACAACGACAACAACAACAGCAACAACAACAACAACGACAACAACAACAGCAACAACAACAACAGCAGCAACAACAACGACACAACAGCAACAACAACAACAATAACAACGACGACAACAACAACGACAACAGCAACAACAACGACAACAAAAATAACAACAACGACGACAACATCAAAGACAACAAAAATAATAACAATGACAACAACAACTTACAAACCGATAATATATTGGTTCTCCATCTATAGATGACAGTAACCTCAAAAAAGTACTACATTCCCATCATACTTTGTTGTAGTAAACAGTGTTTGGATACCTTTCTTGAGTTGCGTCTTGAGCCTCCAGCGTTACTAAACAGGTCCCTAGCAACCATTTCAATTGCAAGATCTATTCTTCTCTGGTTTCCTGTCTGTCGTGGAGCAGATTGAATCAATTTCTTTACTTCACCAGCATTAATCCGCGATCCTGTAAGTGCGTTGAACTTAAACCCAAGTACTGGAGCATTTGCATAGCTGACAAGTCCAAATCGGGTTCCGCTAGGTAAGGGGGATACTTTACCAATACCATCGACCATTCCTTGCATGAACCGAAGAATAAAGTTCCAGTTGGTACTAGAGATATCTTGGGACGAGTCAACGGCGAACGCTACGTCCAGTGGTTTCACTGAAACCTTTGGAGCTGCGAAATATCAATGTACGTATAAGTCGAAAGTGATCGTAARTGATCGTAAGTGATCGTAAGTGTCCGCAAAGGCGAATGTCAGTTATTTACAGTTTTGTTAACTCTCGTTATAACGGACACCATGACGACAGTAATTAAGTGTCCGTAATAGAGAGTGTTCGTTGTAAGGGGGGTTCCTTTCAGTACAGTCAACTCTCGTTATAACGGACACGTTCGGGACAGAAATTGAGTGCCCGTAATAAAGAGTTTCCGTTGTAAAGGGAGTTAATTTCTGTACAGTCGAATCTCCACGTTGTGGACTTTTTCGTAAGCGGACAGCTATAGTTATGGATTACTTCCCAATACCCCGCTTTTTCCTTCCATACAAACACTGCACTCATAATTTCACATAGTCGGACATCCCCACAAACGGACGCTTCTTCCTTTCCCCAAGTGCGCCCGCTTATGAGATTGAACTGTACAACATCTTACCTCCAAACACAATAGCTTGCACTAAAGGTTCTCTCTGGCGTCGTAAGGCTGGATATGACACAGGAGTAAATACAAAGGCAGGATTTGAGACTGCTGTCTCTATTGCGGGCCTGCCTGGACCAATGTTGACAGCATAGATGATGATCTTTTTCGCGAGCAGTGCTTTTGATGCACGCTGCCAAGCAGCTGCGTAACGTTGTGGCCATTGTCCACCAGTGAGGATAATAATACCCTAAATAATATCAGAATAATTATACAAGGGCGGATACATGGTAAAGGGCTATTCCCCCCATAAAAAGTTTACCTTTTTTTATTATTTTCAATGTTGTTTAGAAGAAATAAAAGCTATTTAGCCCCCGCCCTGGATCCGCCCTTGTTATGTAAGAGTYAATTGACAATCTGGCCCCCTATTTTCCGTAAGGCTTTTTCACGCACGATTTAAGTTACGCGATAGCAAAGCGACGATTTTCGGACGACAGCGCGCTGCAAAAATCGCAACATCTCGTCGATGAACTTCTACCTTTGTATCAATTGCCGTGTGTTGACTAACCGAGACAAGCATAAAACGAAAGATAATCCGAATAATCTCATTTTGACTGATATTCAATCGAAAATGGATGGACAAGATGGAATCAAAACGCTATATTTCGATTTAATTACTAAATCATCATCAGGCGAAAACTGAATAATAGTGCTGAGTAATGTACAAAGTAAACTCTTCTCTTACCTTTCTTGCCATTGCCCTCATTCCTTTTCCTGTCACAAAGAGATTGTTCAGGGCTTGTYCGAAGGCAAGATCAACCCTTCTTTGGTTGCCTCGTATCGGCTGTACTTCGTTAAGTCCATTGCTGATAAGCTGGGAAGTAGGAGCAGGGTACTCAGCGAAGTTGAAGTTAACCTTCGCGGTATTAGCAAAGCTRATAAATCCAACATGAGTTCCTTGCACGGAAATATCAAAAGATTTAACGAYAGCTTTTACAAAGGACAGGCCTTCGGCCCAGTTCGCTTGGTCTGAAGAGTCGACTAGGAAGCCAAGATCTAAGTAGCGTCCAGTTCCTAAAAAAACGATTAGTATTAATTAGTAGTTACTCATCAATGAAACCAATTAGTACAATCGAATCATGGCCATAACCAAAAGGCATGAAATGCGGCCGGCTTAGATACATGTCTTGTAAACAAAACCCGTAAAGAGCCAATAAAAAGTAAGTCATCATACATCAAGCTACGGCCACCCGCCTAATACGGTCACTCCGTTATAACGGCCAGAAAWTAATGTACCGTCGAATTAAACCGTGAAAACTTGATTGGCTAAAATCGGCCACCCCGTTAATACGGCCACTTATGTCCCTTCGGTGGCCGGCTTAGCGAGGTTCTACTGTATACATTTCTCCATCCTTTCATTCATCCWTTTTTTCATTTAATACACCAAGTTTTCATACCTGCTTTAACACCCTTAGCCATGTCAGGGGCCAGCTGAGGTACCTGATCGTCTTTGTAGTTGAAATAAATAAGGTCACCCTTACTGGCAGTTCTTAAYACATCTCTAGCATTGAACTGTGCTCCGGCTCCAACACCATACACGTTAATMTTGCTACCAGATAATGYTCTATGGGCATTGCGTAATAACATTTGATGGACCTTCGTAGACTGGGCTCCAGACATGATAACAATCAASACCTATATACAATACAGTGAAAATCAAATGTTTAGTTTTGGAATTATGTAATACTTCAGTCTCGAATAATCTCTTTTGTTCAAGCTTAGATTCAATCAAGCATACATTTTTTTGTCTCTTTTACATAAAGTGTTTGCACTAAAATATGAAAGCTGAATAAAATAATATATTACACGCTTTCGAGGTTAAGGCTGCACAAAATAAGATCTCGAAACTGGAGTATTGCCGTTTTGACAATGAAAAAAAGAAGAAAAAAATGATGGCAACGAAAGATGGGAACCAGGATTCTTTGGGTGTGCTATGTTAAATCAGCCAATAATTATGATGGTTATACTTCAGGAAGTTCTTGTCTATGTATAATTTTTCCAAGAATTCATCAATAATGGATGCGTTACCTTACGTGCTGAAGGCCTGTTCCCAGCGTCAGTTGTAAACATTTTACTACCAGCTAGACCCAGTGCGAGGTCAATTCGCCTCTCTTTACCAGTCTCCCTTGGTATGCCATCGACAGCACCAAGAACATTTGCCTGGTTAAGCTGTGCRCCCCGCCATGCATTGAACGTTTTATATACAGAGGGTTTTTGCGCAAACGAGATGAACCCAAATCGCGCGCTTGAGGGCTGCTGGGAAACCTCAAAGCCTCCTATGAATCTTTTAATAAGGAGGATGATCTTGCCCCAGTTTGCACTAGTGATGCTTGTTGATGAATCGACTGCAAACGCGATATCAAGTGGACGTACTAGATCTGTAAAAATCGTAAAAAGGTCGATTTATTCAGAGTTTTCTTTTTCTCATAGATTAATCACCAAATAATGAGCAGTGTTCCCAGTTGAATAGGCCCTTTGCAGTTGGGGATCACGTGATAACACCTACCTTAAATCAAACAGCTATCAAAAATCCCTCTTTCCATTTCTTGACATAATTTTTTGATAGCTGGTTGATTTAAGGTAGGTGGTAGCTGCAAAGGGCCTATTGAAACTGTCCGAGCAACAAACACAAGATATTTTTTACTAAATTCATTAGATTTTCCTGACGAAAATGTAAAAAACATAGAACACAAAGCACCTTCCTGCATAACGCAGCAATCGGTCTCTTTTCCATGCTCTATATTAAAGGAATATTTTCGCTTGTCCGACGTAGTAACAGTAACTAGGGAAGTAGGGCAAAGAATCGGGATCGATCAATTACTTCTCGGCTCGAAAAGAAAATACAGAAGTAAAAGACAATGGACCTCATTAGCTACTGAAAGACCAGCGACTGAATAAGACAAGAGAGAACAGACAGTCGCACACTCACCCTTCCAATATACCATTCTGTACAACCACTGCCAATACCCTTGAAGCTCRCCCATTGAGCCAACCATAAAGTTATTGTTGTAGTTCTGTGTCACCTTCTGAAGTTGGGCTTCCTTTGCCTGGGGTCGTACACCTATTCCATATATGGTGGCATAATTACGYAATTGTGATGCGGTTCTTATCCAGGCATTGGATGCCCATTGTCCTGYTGTGATGATGACGACTTCCTGAATACAACAAACATGTGTCTTAAAAATGAGTGATTTATTTTACAGTAAAGACTGATTAAGGTCGAAGGGGAGTTTTGCGATATATGTTCATGCGCAACTCTTTTCCCTCCTTCGGACTTCCTTTGTAACATTCATGTTTACCGTGAAAACCTTCCCTCTCTCGCTCTCATTTTATCTGGCTCTCCGCAAAAACACAGGAAGCCCGTGACTCCATTTATGGAAAATGAGGTGACTTCAAAGATCCCATTCTCAATCTCGTTTCCATCCGTCGCTAAGGCCGAATCTTATAATATCTCCATTCGCAGAGCATAAAGAGATAATAGAGAGTATGTTTCTGCTTATATTACGATGTACTTTTATTTTCCAAAGATAAACGAAATCTCGAAAGGGATGCCAGCGGACCATGCCAATGTCATTAAAAATACCTTTCTAGCTGTCTTCCTTGAATTGAATAAAGGCATAGTGAAGAGAGTCAGAGCATCCCCTAATGCCTGGCCGATGTTCCTTCCATTTCCTCGTACGGGTCTCAACCCATCCACTACCCCGTGTAAAGCTTTAACGTTATAATTCGCATCCGGCTCAGATGCTTTTGGGAACGAAAAGGCAACAGCAGATCGATCGGCGTATAAGACTAACGCGAAGTGAGTTCCTTTCATTGACACATCGAATGCTCCAATGATTTGCTTAATGAAGGCARCCATTGAAGGCCAGTTAACCGAGTTGGAAACGTCTGCTACTATGACAATGTCGCGATAGTTGCCTTGATCTGTACAAAGCATACGATGAATTAGTAAATAGATTAATGGATTAATMCAATCAGTCAATCAATCAACTATGAATCAATAATCAATAAATCATCACTTATCAATTTATCAACCATGGAATCATTCAATCAATCAATCATTAATCAATTATCAAACATTCAATCAACCATCAATCATTCACTCTGTCAATACGTCAGTCAATCAAYCATTAGTTAATCAATCAAACATTCAAAGTTGCAATAAAAGTGCCACGATCAACCATTATTCAAAACGATCAATTTTTTAACATTTTCATAAATGCATTACCTTTTAGTATATCCTGTCCAAGAGGTTTGGAATACGAAGCGAGGTTATCTTTTCCTTGRTAGTTATACGTATAGTATGCATTGTCTGCATAGGACGCTGACCAAAGTGCTTGAGGACGTGAGAACATCATTCCAGCGCCCATGGTATACAGCCTTATTCCTCGTCCTTTAAGAGTCTTGGCGATTTCTCCTGGTTCCTGGCCAACACCATCAGGTTGTTTCCCGGTTTGAAGCATAAGAACGACCTGAATTGAAAATATGGTTATTGATCTTTAATGCATTATAAATACCACCATGTTGGGATCTATTTAGAGATATTAGAGAGCTTTAGCATCACGTTGACGGCAAACGGCTAACGTGCCCGACCTTGTGCTTTTGGTAGTCATTTGAAAGAGCGATTTTCACAATTATTGCAACCCCAAAATAACCCGCTCTCGCGTTGAAACTGCAATGTTAAACTCCAAAAAAGCAGATCACGTGACTTTTTCTGACGTTTGCCGTGAACGTCATGCTAAACCTCTCTATTATTTCAAGGTGTTCAGCGAGTGTCCGTTTTAGTTTTCTAATATCCCAATTTACAGCTTCAATCTCCATCTTCAAAGGCAGGTTTTTACATCAGAACGAGACAGGAATTAAGCATGCCGTGACAGATACCTTTTGTTCACACCTAAGACAATTATTCATAGGTACTTTGATGCAAAGGTTTGTCTACCTATCAAAATGGCGGATGGAACTGTAAAATGGAGTATTAGGTGGTCCCGTGGAATCCTTTTCAAGCTCTCCTTTTTGCCTTGTTGGCCAAAAAAGTCCAAGTAGTCTAAGTTACCTTTCTTGATTGTGGTCGTTGTCCGCCTTTAATACTAAACAAATCACGTCCTGCCATCAGAAGAGCGAGATCAATTCGACGAGCACCTGATCCTCGAGGGAAGTTATCAAGAAGTCCTGCAACTGCCTCCGTGCTAAGCTTGTTGCCTTCTAATGTGTTGAACTTGAAAACTAACGCTGGTTGTGAAGCATAGCTAATYAATCCAAAGCGATTGCTGTTCGGATCAGTAGTTACTTTGTTGATAGTCCTCACGACACCTTTCAGGAAAGTTATAATTCTTGCCCAGTTTTCAGGATCGACCTCYGGTGAYGAGTCGACAACCAGGGCCACATCTAAAGCTCCTTTACCAGAAGCTAAAAGAAACAAAGGTGTTGATAAAAAATGCAAAAAGAAAGGAATGAACTATTTGTTTTTTAACTAACTGCAACCGTTACCACATGCTTCAGAYACAGCTATTATGCTCAAATGTTAAAGGGCCATGCTCAACCGTCATGAATGTGGTCGGACTAAACTTTCCTTCACACTGTTTCCATCCGTTGATTTTAAGGTCAAATCATTCAATATCTACATTCATATAGCATAAAGAGATGGTCGTAACCTTTTGACTATATAGACGTCTAAACCTTTTAGTCACTACTTGACTTTTAATGAATTGTGGGATCCGTTTTCCGAGAAAACAAAAGAAATACGCTATGTTCTGTCCAAATCGTATCCCACAATCCATTGCATATACAGCAAGTGACGTAAAAGCTTCATAGTTCTATTACGATGTGTGTATTTCCTTTTAACCCTTTAACGTCCGCGATTTATTTTGTATTTTAGCTTGTTTTTGAGACTGATATTTCAAAAAATTAAATGTACCCCATATAAGG